GCTGCTACTGCTACTACTACTACTACTACTACTACTACTACTGGTGCTACTGCTACTGCTACTACTGCTACTGCTACTGCCACTGCTACTGCTACTGCTACTGCTACTGCTACTGCTACTGCTACTGCTTCTGCTGCTGCTGCTGCTGCTGCTGCTACTGCTACTGCTACTGCTACTGCTACTGCTACTGCTACTGCTACTGCTACTGCTGCTGCTATTGCTACTACGACTATGCCTACGACTACGACACGACGACGACTACTACTACCACTACGACGACCACGGCTAGTACCACGACTACTACTACGACTACTACTACTTCTACTACGACGACGACGACTACTACTACTACTTCTGCTACCACTACTACTCCTACTGCCTATGCGACTACTACTCCTACTGCCTATCGATGTGAACTCACTGCCGTGGGCTGGATGACGGACGAGAGACCGAGCACTGTAGCAGTCAACAAGTTCTCTGAGTCGACCTCGTCACGCAGTTGTGTTCTGCGTCAGTGCGGCCTGAGTCTGTTAGCTTTTCGCACTGTGGCAAGCCTTCCTGTGCTGCTTCAGCACTGTTGTAAGGGAGTTTGCTTGGCTGGGCGGGCCATGCGGGAGCCAAGAACTAACTACTACGAATACTACTACGACTACAACTGCTGCTACTGGAGTTGTTCTGACGACGATACTGTCTGGCATGCTAATAGTAAAGGTCTTTCTTTGTCCTTACCACCAAACCCGCCAAGCCCAAGCAGGCCATAGGTTTCAAGATTTTCGGAGACCGACATTTTTTGTGTTTGCTTGGGGCCGAACTGTATGAGAATCATATCCGAATGCAAGTTTTGCAGGCGGATCGAGCCATGAACCAGGAGCTGACGGGCACGATATTCTTCGCCAGATAGACTCTCACGTCGAGCGCGGGAACCCCGAAGAGTTTGGTTATTAGCACCAGTGCAGGTCCGTTGCATGCCATGGCACCTCTTACAGTAAGGCGCATCTTGGCCTTGTCAGGTTTGAAGATGTTGCCGATGCTGCTTACACAGTCCGAGAACAGCTGCCCATTTTAATCATCCCGGTGCAGGACTTAGCCTTCAGCTCGGCCGATTACGGCCTTCTCGCAACACTGGGATTCACAATCCCGCATCTCGGTCTGCTTGGTACTCGTGAAGACGGTCAGTCAGGGGTTGTGATGGGCACGAATACGATGTACTTATAGGTGCCGAAAGCTCTGCTCAGAGAGTCCTTCGACTGAGCCCTTTGAAGGTTTACCGTCGCCTCGCTCTGGGCCGGGGTCGCAGCGGATAGCGTCGATCGCTTTCGCTTGACTGCGGCAGCGGGGATTTGCTGGTCCGGTCCTAAGTGCAACAAACATCTTGCACTAAACCTTGTTGTTCCGGCCAGCGGCGACTCCTCTGCATGCCCACGGCAGCGTGCAAAGGTCGATTGCCACGGCCAGCATGGCATCGGCCACATCCTACAACATGCTGCTGTTCCAGCGGGCCTTGCTGGGACTTTTCCAGGACAGTGCCCGGGAGCCACTGTGCTGTTCCGATCGTGCTGCTAACTCTTGGAGCTATTTTTCAATTTGTGATGGCCGGCAACTGGAAAACGGAGGCTGCCACAAATCCTGCGGCGCTCTCTGTCATCTCGGAGCTTTTCCCAGACGTTGCTCAGCTTTGGTCTTTACATGAGCTTTTTCGCTTTGCTGGATGCCAGGATACATTTCACTGCTTGCCAACAAACATGCATCAATGCCGCTCTGACGGTAATACGGCATCACCATACTCCATGAGCATAGATATACAGCGGTTAGAGGGGCGCTAGCATGTGCGGTGCAGACGACGGAGGAGGATCAGTAGATATAGAAGCATCGTGAGACTCAACCGAGATCCCCGACCTTAGTTTGAGTCTCTTGGCCCTGAAGGCACGAGCGACCGCGAACTCTATCTTCGGGTTGGGGATCTATATTGGCGGGGCGGTGGCCTCCCTCGGTGCAGCCGTCGATGAGAGAGACTGATGTTTCATGATGTTTGGTGTCATAGATGAGCTGTGACAAGTTGTAGGCTGCTGTGCAGGGCACACGCGGCTTGGGCTTGCTCAGTCGCAGGAAGGGTGGAGAACGGCCTGCTTGGGCTTTGGCTTCGTCAGCCACTTGTCAAAGAGACCGCACTTGTGTCCAGTGGCGTATCCCTAGCTGTGATTCCTGTGGGCCGTTAATTTCGGCAGCTAGATTTTTCCACAGACCTGACCTTTGGCGTCAAGTTTTACCGAGAAGCAATAAGTAGTGAGGTGCCTTGGCATCCTTGCCGCTCCTCTTCCGAAGCGAGGCGTGTAGCCACCGGCATGAGCCGTAAGCATCCGGAAGCGTCTTTCGCCAATCGCACAACATGAAGCTATGAATATGTTTCGCAGGCCTCCGGGCCATCCAAAGAGGGAGCGCGGTGGCCAACAGATCCCTTCGCGCAACTGTAGCTCTGTTGATGTCATTCTTTTTTGTTTTTGTCCTAGACTTGTTTGAGCGCGTCTTCTATCTTCTGCTGACGGTTGACAGGGATGGAAGTGTAACCCCGTGCAGGCAATCAAAGGTGGTGGCGCTGCCTGGCGCCGCTTGCATGACTTAAGCATGGTTCCATGGTCCGACACACGTTATTGTGAGCCAGAAGAGATGCCACGGTTGCATGCTCGCTCCGGTGAGGAAGCGCTGAGCGTCATCACAAAATCTTCGGAGGCGGCTGTTCTTCCGTTATTGACCTCAGGAAGATTCGGCTCGTAATGCAATGCGCAACTCCGGGTTATGTAAGTCTAACCAAGCACGCTTTCCGCCGAGCCTGCACCACTTACCTTGTTGGTCCAGGCCTTTTTTGTGTAGTCGTGCAAGCTCTTGCTGGGGAGCATGTTTCGCACCGACAGTGTGCCAATGCTGCGGCGCATGTCCTACACCGCTTGTGGCGACACTCGTCGCCAAACTGGCTTTTAAACTGTACTTATGATTGAAGGCTTTGCGTAGTTTCTCTGTGGCAGTGCAGGCCGTGTCCGAACCCTCTGCACGCTGGCTGCTCCTCGCGTCGACTCTTCGTTTCAGCGCAGGCCCAGCCAGTCAGCTGCAGACGACACCATGTAATGCACACCACATCCATAGAGTGGCATAAGAGGGCATAAGTGACAGAGGTCATGGCAACTCACCGTTCCAATTTTGTGATGACTATGGCCGAATGCCAGGATTCGCCATCTTGGTGTGGCTGCCCACAGCCATCCGAGCATCATTCCCGAATGATGTGGAGCAGACTGAGCCCCAGCCGATGAAACACAGTGCCGTGTGCCATTAGATGCTCAACCAGTCCTGCATTCGCACGAATAGTGTTTGGAGCGACACAGACAGAGGATATTTAAAAGTATACGCGCGATGGAGGGGCAAGACATCGTAACATAACACATAAGCACGGAAGCCTGCAAAGACCGAGCGAGACCGCGTGGGTGTGGGGGTTTTGGCCTACTTTCAGGAGTGGAAAGTAAGAGGGAAGACCTGCTTAGGCGACGTGCCCAAAGGTTAAAGGAAAGGGAAGGCCACCTGCGAGGGGCATTCCATGCATTTTGTGCACTCCGTGGACGCACAACCTGGCATGCATCGATTTCGATACCCATACCATGAAGAAAAAAGGGCTAAGAAAGATGCTGCTAGTCGTAAATGTAGCGTCTCAAGGTGTGTCTGCTGCTACCAGTCTCACACCAGATAAGGTTTGCAGTGATCAATTCCCTCATCAAGGCATTCGCTGGTGGTGCCTCTTCGCTAGCAGGAGGTGGGATGCATACCACTGCTTTACCACAGCAGGGTCCGAATCGACGGAAGCCCTCTGTGATCAAGCAGGCGTCACGGCCGATGGTCTCCGCGCAAGAGGCGAGATGTCGACGAGTGGACAGCTCCAGCAATGGAAAGGAAAGGAGAGAGCCAATATACGACCAATCACAGCGAAATCCACTCCTAGCCACTCGAAGTTAGAGCCAGCATATGCTTTGCAGTTTGCCTAGGTTCCTTCGGGGTGTTGTCGTAGGAACTTGCGGTGTGCCACGCCATCCTAAGCCACAGCTCACTTTCAACCATGCTCTTGCATGCCTCATGCAGCCGCGTCGGCAGGCTTTGGTGATCAGGCCGCGGCATTATTCTGTGGCGTCACGAGCCTGGCGTCCGCACCCCTGTGGTGCGCCGCGGTGCATTTTCGACGCCACAAACTTGTTAATTGTGGTCCGTGAACGCACCGGGCAGAGACTTGTTCGGATTGATTTGCCTGGCCCAAACGGCCTGGTCAGCAGCCAGGTATTGCACGCTGGGTGAAGGACTGAGCTTCGAAACTTGCATGGGTTTTCTCCTGGTCGAGCATCCTGGATGCAACTAGCTCCTGGGAGCGTCGCCCGGCACTCTGCTTGCTATAGAAACGATCACGGCTCAGGTACCTGGTTGCAGAAAGTTGGCTCGGGCCAGCAATATCTGCACTGCAGGGTGCAGTGTCGGTCGGCCAGCGCGGGACCGCGCAGGCCATGCTCATTCAGCCAGGCTTCTGTTCGAGAGAGACTACTGTAAGTCGGCTAGGTCTAAGAGACAGTCGGCGCACAACAGCTGCCCTGAGGGCGTATTTTCGTCGTTGACCGCGTACCTCAATGGCAGCAACATCAGCTTGAGAAACTGTGAACGCAGAAGTCTCCGCAAGAGGCACAGTAAGGTCGGAAGCATTGGTGTGATTCCAGATCTGCGTACCATTGGGGGAGCTTATCGCCTTCGCATTTTTTGCAGCTCTGCAAGTTGCGACGGAAGTTGCTGCTGGATCCGAGGTTAGGCAATGGTCTCCCTGTGGTTTTGGGCCTCTTGGCACCTGAAGACCTGGCCAAGGGCCTCCAGGTAAGCGTGAGCGCACCTGGGCGGAGCTTAGGAGTGTGTGACAGGTTTAGGGCAAGGCTCCAACTGGAACTGTGTAGGTGTACTTGGTGAATAGAGATTTTGCTTGAACTTGGCATGCCGACTCCAAGTGCTGAGGTATGTTACCTACTCAGTGGGCTGTCCTTTCTCATGGCTTCTGCGAACCTGAAGGAGCAGTCCCATTCTTGTGTCTGTTCGCTATCCACTCACGTTTTCTTGCTCGGAGGACCCCTCTGCGGAAAGCACGGCGTACGAGTGAAAGCAGCTTGTGCCGGCTTTCTATCTTTTCATTATTGTTAGTATAGCCGCTACATGTGGCATTTTTCAGGCACTCGCAAGAAGGGCCTCTGCTCACTGCCAGAATCGACAAAGGTGCTACATTTTTGTGCTGCTCGCGAGTAGCCCAGCTTCTTTGCATGTCCGATTCTGGACGAAGCTAACGGAATGCTGGCATTGAGGCCATCGCTGTTGTCACATCCCTGTTCCATATGACTCTAGGATCTGGCATGTTCTAGCATGTCTAGGAGTCTAGCAGTGCTGGGGTCCGGTAGTGTTGTCGGCATGCTTTGGTTCTTTTCAAGCTTGGGAGGCCTTGAGCAAAGGTTGAACCGCCGAAGCTGGGTGTTCGAAGGCGACAAGCCAGGACCCCTGTCTCACCATCAGAAAGCGGCGTCGCATGGCTCAGTAGTGTCCATGTCGATTACTGCAGGTCATTTTGAAGCATCATAGCAAACCACTCTTGCTCGCTGGTTTTCTCGGGTTGGTACTCAGCATGCGCTCGTGATGCAAACATGGCGTGGCGCAATGTCTCCAGCTTCCGACAGCGGGCCCGCAATGCGGAACAGATTACACAACAGTCGCCAGCTTGGACTTGATTGGCTTGCCGGGGATTCGATTTGCTGCTCGTGCATACATAAAACCTTGCCTAAGTACACAGAATAGTCGCACTGGAGCAAGACATCTCGCTCCAGAGAGCCTTCTGCATGTTGTTGGCTGCATGGAAGTTCCGAGCCCCTGCCCCAGTAGACGAAGGCACGATTATGTACGGCCGAGGCTTAAGGCGGAGATCACTCAAAAGCTCGTGAAGCGAACCTATGACCAGATGAGTGCCTTTGACGACCACGTGCGTGCGGTGAAGGAGCCGCAGCCTTGAAGAAGTCTTCACAGCCTTGAAGCTGCCAAGCTAGAGGGTGTTTCGCACAGGAGAAGGCTGCGCGTGAGGAGGCAGAGGAGGAGGCTGAGCTTATCCGGCTTAGCGAAGGCTGGGCTCGCGCGCGGGCCGTACAGTTTGAACGCTGCTCGGCTTGCCACCCTGGTGCCCGAAAAGGATCTGGACAGTATGTAGCAGGCGCAGGCACATACGCAGGTTTCTTTGTTCGGGATCTGGTGCCCATGATGCACGCACAGTAGACTTAGATGGGCACTGCGGAAGCGGTTGACGGACGAAAGTTGTTCTTCGAGAGAGTGATGCCGTGAATCCGAGGCCTTATTCAAGCAGACACCGCGAGCGAGGTAAGCAGCACAAAAAGTGCAACTGGGAGCATGGCGAGATATCGCAGCGATTCTGTGCTACCGGCGCATGTTCGCCTCGACAACTCTGAGATACTCCACGCTCAGCGCCCGCCGTCCCCTCTGCATGTCCACGACTATGGTGACATCTCAGTACGGCCTCGCTCCTACCAGCAGCAGGTCCGGAATAGACACGGTGGGCCGGCCCGCCCAGCCTATCGGCAGGAGTTTTGTGGCGTCTACTTTCCAGGCCCCGACTGCAAGCAGGGTCCATATGGTACAAGCATGATCGAGCCCTGCCTCATGCCACCGAGATGCTGGGCGACTGTGCTTATATATGTTTTGGAGGGACGGGAACAGGCCTGTGCCCGCCTGTCGCGGATTAATTTCTATTCGGCCATGTCTTGAGCAGCAGCCGGCAGTCCCCAAACACTCGCATCGACAAGCATATGGCCATGGGACAAGTGACACAGAGTCTTCTGCAAACGCTGTCATGTCAAAATTCCTCCCCTGCTGTGTCACTACACCTAGAGCTAGAGCGTTCTCTCCAGAGTCAGTGAAGCTCGCCCGGCATGGGAGGGAACCCCGACAACCCTCCTAACCCACCGCGCAGAAGGAATCCTAACTTTCGGAAGTTATGCCCACAGCCTCACAGAGAACGAAAGCTTCCACTCAGCTGATGAGGTAAAGGGCTCGGAGCCGCCGCACAGGCATCCCAAAGATGCAGCGGATCTGAGACCCAGGCCTCCGGATTCTGTGGGTTTGATTCCTTCCTTTTCCGCGAGAAGAGGCTGCCCCCCCCGCAGTCACTTGTGGAGCGAAGCAGTTCGAGCGATACACTTCGGCGGCCTCGGCCTTTCTGCGTAGCAAGAACATTATATATATATATATTATATAATTATATATTATATATTATATATTATATATTATATATTATAGTATATATATATATATAGAGTTTCTCTTTGGAAGCGCGCTTGGAGAGTTTCGAGGACCGCGGAGGGCCGGGATCGACCCGTCCGAAAGGGAAAGGCCGACGCAGTGATCCAGCAGCACAGGCCAGAACTTTAGGGTGAACTTGCATTTAGGGCTGAGGGTTCGCTCAGGGTTCAAGGTTTCAAAAAGGTTCTATATCATGCATGTGTTAGGGTATACTGTTTGCGACCTAGACACGTCTTGTTTAGGAGCTGCCTTTGGTGGTTTTGACACGTGCTGCGTGAGACTGTCGAGCCATCGCTAAAGGCTGAAGCTATTGATTGACTCGATCTTGGAGGGAGGGGAGAGATTTGGGTTTCATCTAGAGTGGTCGGAGCTTCGAAGGGTGCGTAATAGTTCAGTCAGTGTCAGCCTTCTGCTCGGACATGTGTGCGGGGGGTACTTGGATATCCTCTGACCCGCCGAAAGCAAGAGATGCAAGCCAGTTCCACCTTGCAATGCGCACTTGCGCAAGCAGCTCCTTTAGACCTGCAGAACGACATAAACCTTACCCTTTGAAGGACCGCTTGCAAACAAGCAAGTAAGCGCGCAAGCAAGCACCCAAGCAACCAAGAAAGACCAGACAAGACCATTCACAAGCGTATCCATCATCGTTCGGTTCACATGCAGGCAGCAGACCAAGTCCAGGGTGCCCACAAACAATGCGCACCGCAGCTGCGCCCAGCACCGAGCACATTGCGCCCGAAAGCGGGACCAGGCAAGATGGCAGTGCTTTGCTGCGGGCTTCGGGTGTGGATTACGCTGGTCACTCCTGGCAGGAAGGATTCATCGAGGCTGTCCGCTTTGAGCAAGGCCCGGCCGTCTTCTTCAGAGCCCTTCCAGAAGTGCATCTGGCGCGACGAAGGTCACTTCGAAGGTCGCTTCGCTGACCCGCTCATCAAAAACTCTGGGTATCCGAACGACGAGATGTTCAACGAAACTCATGCGATTGGAGCAGCTGCCCGGCTCTCAGCAAAAAAGAGACTTGCCACGAGCACGGAGTGAGGCTCCAGAGTATGACAGGAGGATTCTGCACCAGATGGCTCTCCGCAACTGGCTTGGGGGCTGGAGGCTCTCGTGCGAAAAACCGTGGTGCAGATCTCCTCATTTGTGGGCGCAGCGAGAGGCCGGCGAGACTTATGAGGCCATGGCCACCCACATTTTCCTCGGCCTCCACCAGGCCCGGGGGCCTGGGGCGAAGTCCCGAGGCTGCTCAAAGCAGCCTTGTGATCCTTGTGGTTTGCATGGGGAAAGCGTCACATCCCAGCTTGAGCCTTGAGCGCTCTGCAGGCAATGCGCGAGCACCATGCCCGACTGCCTCACCTTTTTAAGCCGGTGAACCGCGGTGTGCCAGGTGGGTGTGTGCGCCGTTGTGAAGCGCGGCAGTCGGTAGTGGTGCGTCCTGATGTGGGTTACGCGAAGTGTGGAAACGAGGATATTGGAAAGGACCGTCATGATGTCTCAAGATGTCCCAAGACAGGTGTTCTCGAGCCCGCCGAGTTTCTGGAAGGCCTGCATCTCGGCAGCAGCCAGGTTGGATGGCTGCAAGGAATTGCGGTGCTCTGTTTGTCCACGACATTCCACGACTCTGCTTCCAAATATTGAGAGTGTTGGTATGCAGAGGCAGGGCATGCTAGGGCCCTCGAGATGTGAGGCAGCGACTCCGCATCGTGGAGAAGGGGCAGGTGTCTATCCAGCCGCTTGTTGGCTAACAGTGTAGCGTTTGTTGGGGAAAGAGTGAGGACGTGCCATCCTTACATGCTTGGGAGCAATAGCTACGAACAACGCAATCACGCTTCCATATTCCTTCCGGCGGTCTTAGTTTCAAGTCTGGGACACATCACCACTGAGGCAGCTCCTGGAAGTAATGTACGAGCTGGATCCGGATTTCGATGGGCGGATCATCTTGTCCCACGTTCGAAAATGCATAGCAGCCACGAGAGCATTGGCGAATGCAAGCCAACCTGGAGCCTCGGAGAATGACCTTACGAACCTGCTGCCCACGGACGCCTACTGCCAAAGAGTTCCTGTCCAGAGGGTTGTGGTAGAGCGTCAGCCAAAGTCTATTTGGGATTTCGAGCGCTCCTATGAAAAGTTTCGCAATCAGCAGCATGAGCTCCTGATCATACACAACGAACGAGACTCGAAAGTTTCACCTGACATGTCCTAGCACAAGCTCGCGTCCCACTGCCGTCGAAACACTCGACGGCATGCGAGCATGCTTCGGTCATTTTTCTTTGGAGAGGTGCTAGCGAAGCAGCCGAGAGTCCGAGACTTGACCTTAGCCCATGTCGCGCCCCTATCTTTGCACGCCCCACTTTCTTGCGGAACTGTTGTCTCAGTCTCGTGGTCATGTACTTACATCTCCGCCGATAGCTGAAAACGCATGCAAGAGAGCCCAATAGTTTTCCGCCAACATCTTGAACTAGATGAGACAGCAAACCCGTCGCAAGACAAGGAATTAGTCTTTCTGGAGTTGGGGCAGGTTCAGACCTCTAGAGCCTAGTTTGGCCGAGGCTGGCACGTTTCACATCACAGCATGAAGAATCGGGATATGTGCAGTATGAAGCAAGTGCAAGTGGTCGCCTACAGGCATTGAGCAACAAGTTTCCAACGCTTCGCGACTGCAACTGGCTGCAAGTGCCCCTCTGTTCCCACCCTTGCCACATGCAGCCACATGCCCTCATGCCACAGTGTCATACACAGCTGCAATGAAACCTCGAATTCAAAGCAGCTGCTCGGTAGCCAGTTTTCCCAAGCCGTCAGCACTCCACT